TGTTATAATTCATAATTTTATCTAATAAAGAACTAGAGGAAAGACCTCCCTTGATAAAAAAAAAAAAAAAAAAAAATACTTTATTCACTTTAATATTTATAAAGTTTTGACTGAAATGGTAAACTCACCGTTCATTTTTACTAAACTACCTTATTTACCTTAATGACATGGGCCAATTGATCGATTAAAAATACTTTCCGCCAATTAAATTTATTTCCTGGTATATCATTGATTGATTGAGGCGCTTGAGACACCCTGAATCACAAGATTTTGAGTTAAAAACCAACCTTATTTGTATCATGTCGAAATTACTTCAGGGTAAATTTAAAAAATTAATTACTTTTACTATTTTTATTTGGCAAAAAAAAACATCAAACACTCAGTACATACAAAAAACTAATTACCGTATTTGCGCGTAATAATTTTGAATTTCGGCCTAAATTAAGCTTAATTCGGGCCATGGCTCAAAATAATGTCCCGGCCGCTATTACGCGCAAATACGACCAAATAAACAAACAAACAGATGTAAAAACCATCTAGTAAGCAAGGGAATTTGTGAGTAATTTAAGACCTTGAAGATGACATGCCAACATGTGGCGATGAAAAATAATGCTATCTTATGAGTAATTACATATATTTATTATAGCCGCAAAGATGTAATCTGGAGGCAAGTGTGATTTCTCTAACGTAATGATACAATTCAATAGTCATCTTTTAAATAAAGTTAACAGAGTTAAAAATTTCTTATTCATAACTAACGTAATATATAGAACTGAATTGATGCACATTCATTGGCTATATCTCAATAATAATTACAATATAATGCTTGTAAACAGCACTCCGTTTCACAAGAGCATGCCAAAAAGTTTGAATCGTGATAATGAATAGGCTTATTGGCGCGCTAACCAAAGATGCAGTATTTATCAGCATAATATTAGTACAATAATATATTTCAAATTTGTCACATCAGAATTTTCTTATGAAACTAGATTTCCATTTAAAAGTGACATTGTAAAAAATTTTTTTATAATATTAAAACATTAATATTTATTACGAATTAATTATAGTTGGCTAAAATAATTAGGTCGTTCTTTCTATTTCATTTATACATCAAAAAAAAAAACCCCCCAAAAAAATCAAAAATCTTTTTTTTGATTTATATTAAATTAAATATATCTTAACTATATATTAATGTTGTGTACTACTGTTACGTATATTGCTGCTACGTATACTACTGCTACGATAATAGCTGTTGTAGCCACCAAAGTCATCATTATTATGATCTTCAATTTCTAACATGGTTGAATTTTCGGAAACACTAACCTCTTGAGCTGCTGGCCGGTCGAAAGCACTTAATTCTTGTTCAGAAATATTAAATTCTATGTTTGGTGTTTGCTCAAGAGCATTAGGTTCTCGAGTTGCTGTTTGTTCAAGAGCATTAGGTTCACGTATTGCTGTTTGTTCAAGGGCATTAAGTTCACGAGTTGCTGATTGTTCAAGAGCATTAGGTACACGAATTGCTGTTTGTTTGAAGGCATCAGGTTCCTGGATAGTCGATTGTTCTAAGGTGTTAAATTTTCGAGTTGATGTTTTTTCAAAGGTATTAAATTCTAGAGTTATAAATTCCTCGTCACCATCAACTACTTTTTGAGCCTCATGTTTAGTACCCTCTTTAGTAAAGTGTTCATCAGTCAAATTGTTTACAAGTGTGTTTTGCGAAAAATCACTCCAATTTGAGTTTGTTTCACCTGTATAATATTGGTTTATTCGAGTGTTTTGATGCTGAGATATTGTATGATGGGCAATTTCATATTCTTTCTTTCCTGAATAATCTGTCGGATCATAATAAATGTTTCCATCTTCTATAATATTCATAAAAATATCTTTTAAAAATACATTCTATTTGAAAACGTTACATAACTGACAAATTTACCTTCGACTTTCTGGATTTGACGTTTCTTTAGGTACCATATGATGAATACTATAATAAATATAATAACTGCTGCTGTGCACATTATGACGTATATTAAAACATTGATTGAACTATTGGAAATTGATGTGCTAAGAAAGATAAAAGATAAATTAGTATGAGTTAGACTAATTGAAAAAAAAAAACATTATAAACTTACGAATCTGTAGTACTATTGAATGGGACACCTAAAGCAGAACAGCCCTTTTGCCATTTACTAAGATCATCAATGACATAATTGTAATTCGAGTTTTTATAGCACTCTAAACATTGAGTTAAATTGTTATAAAAAGCTGCACTACATTCGCACTTAGCTGCATTAAAAAGTAATACAAGTATTTCCGAATTAATTATACAATGAATAAAAATGAATATATTTAATAAAAGAATATTTTGAATTCTTACCCGAAGCTAAATAATGAGTTAAACCATTTAATGTAGGAGGAGCAAATGCAGACCCACATATAGTCTTCGCCTTACTGCAGGCATTAAGTGTTGCACAAACTTTAATACTGCTTGAGCTATCAATACTTGGCGGTGCAGCAAGGGAATTATTGGAACTACCGGCTGAACTCTCGGCATTAATCCCACCTTTATAATTTATGATTCCGACTAGAAAAATGAATAAAATTAGTTGGATTAATTTGAAGGACATTAGTGTTCTTTTTTTATAAATAAGTTTTAATTGTGGTAAAGATTGTAAGAAAAAAAAGAATAGTTTCTCGAATTTCTCTAATAGATAATCTGTTCAACAAAAATCTACAAGAGAACAAAAAAAAGAATGACTAATAAAAATAAAGGATTGACAGAAACTATAATAAATAGTTTTTAATAAACGGATACGTGTAGGAATCTCATAAAATCTATTAAGGAAAGGTGAGAATTTATCGTTATGAATTGTCACATCCAAATTCGGGTTAATTTAATTCTACCGTTGCTTCACAAATTAATATTAAAGTACTAACCACTAACCAGGTAATAGATATTAATGTTGGTAACAATGATCAAGACTGTGTCGGATATTTCCATAACAATATTAGTTCACCAATCACCAATTTATAACCGAATTCAGTAAATTATTGGTAGAACATTATGTATTACCAACATGTAAACAAATAAGGTTATCTTAATATTAATTTTGTAAGGTAATATCCTAAAGTTTCTTATATGGCATGTTTGGATATTTGTATGGCCAAATTGTGGTATGTAGTTGAAAATTTTAATAAGTATATATATAGTGATTATTTAGCAGTTATTTAATTTTGATTTTAATGTTCATAATGTAATTAGCAGCATGGCTTGCGCCAGAATATGCGTAATGTTACCTAGACAGATTAATTTGTTTTTTTTAGAATTTTCGTCTAGAGAAACTAAACAAAGTGTTCAGACCAATTAGAAACATTTTTCGAACTCGAATAGTGTTTGTAGTCTTCTAAATTTATTGACCCGACTAAGCCGATATTTAGAATTGTGATTGATTATTTTTTTGTTTATAAACTGTAGCTTTTTCAAGCAACAAAAATAAGGATCTGAATTTTCTAAGTTGTTTATCTCTTGTCAAGATTATTGAATTAATGGCACAAATTACGGCATAGTATCTCAATGCTACAAAAGCCGCAATGCATAATGAAATATAGTGTAAGGTGAGGTAGGGTATTATGACGCACTAATAGTTGCTCATATAAAAATTTTTAGGAAAAGCATATTTATTTACAAAATTTAGCGAAATAAAATAACAATCGATTTACTAACTAATTATAAAAAAAAAGAAAAATCGATTTACTAACTAATTATAAAAAAAAAGAAAATCGAAAAAAAGTTTGAAATATGATCTTTCAAAATCTACTCAAAAAATGCTGATTTTTTGCATTTGGAAGGTATTATGGCGCACTATGTATCACTATATGTTTCTTATTGTACGTATTACTGTATCCTTCCTCTGGACATTACCCAAATGAGGAAAATTAAGAAACTTAATACTGTTATAAGAAATATTGATTTTTACTTATATCTTGTGTTTTAGCAATTAAAATCAAAAAAATTTCTATATTATTTGATTCGTCTCAGTAAGACGAATCGAATGGTACTAAAATTTTTCGATTCTGATCAATGCGTCATATTACCCACTCGTGTAAAAATACATACACAGATTCTCAATTTTGATTGGCTAACGATTGTGATTTGACAAAATTTTGGTTCGAGTTACTTCACATTAATTATTTATCGTTATGTAATTTGCGGCCAGGATTAACTTTTTTTCATTGTTACAATGCTAGTGTGATCATCAAATTATCTACATCACACATCACGAAACGTTCAAATATAGATATGATTTTCATTCTCCGTTACACAGATCACTCATTGTATAGACCAGTCAAATATCACTACGGGATCAGTCAACCAATCAAATTGCGAAATTTACAAGACGAAACCGTAAAATATGTTGTAAAGCAAAGTGAAAGCTTCATGTTTGTTTAACCATTTTCAATATTCATAATAATATAAAAAATTTTTTATCAATTGTGTAACGATTTTGTGACGTTTCAACGTTTCTCCCTGTTGCGGGAATCTGGGAATCTAATTGGTCTTAAACTTTGAAGATATCTCGATATCCACCTGACCGAATTCAATGAACTTTTTTTTTGTTTCACTTATGTGTTATACTGCCAGGGGGTAAGTATAGAGCTTATTAATTACTATGATTTTGTAATTTTATAAAAATTACATCTCTAATACATTAATTCAAGAAATTGAGGTTAAAAAAAAATATTTTTTTAACCACTGTCTCCTTTTGCTGTGGGGTCCCCATATATTCTTATGTATACCAGGTGGGTGAAAGTCCCTATACAGGGCTTTCTTGATTATTTTATTGTCAGACATGCTAATTGAGTAGAAATATAATGAATTTTTTAATTGGACAGTTTTGGACATGTCCAAAACCTTCCAAAATATTTTGAAATTAGTAATATATATATAAGTAACAGGAAGAGAAAACCTGTAATTCTTAAAAAATAGTTTATTATAAAAATTCATATTAAGGACTACAGGTTTATATTCCCGTCATATATCAGATATAATATTTATATTTTTATATTTAAATAAATAATGATTAATACCGTATAGGCACGTTATTTCGGGACACGCATGCACGATAATTCGAATCATTGTGCTAATTTTGGAAAAAATCTCAACTACTTTCTTGAATGATAATCTGGTACGTACGGAGGGGCGCGTTATTTTGAGACGCGCATGGACGTTATTTTAGTCAAATATGCCATTTTTAAAAAATCGAAATTTCGAAATAACGCCCATGTGCGTTATTACGCGCCTAACGGTATAAAGTATTTTATATTTAAATAAATAACGATAATGATTAATATAAAGTATTTTATATTTATATATAATAAAAAAATATATTAAATAGTGCAGTAAACCCTTTATAAGTGCACGCTCTTGAGACCAAGCTCTAATAGTGTGCACTTAGAGATCAATAAGAGAAAGTGCATTTATAACCAGAACTTGAGTGTGCGTTTAGAAAGGGTGTGCACTTATGGATATTAGAAGTAATGCCCAGAAGTGTGGTTCAAAAATTTGGCCCAAATTAAGCTTAATTCAGAAAAAATTTTTAAACCATTTGAGCAAATACAGTACAATTTTTGTTAGAAATATTTAATTGGCTAGCGAAAATTATAAATAGATTATATATGTTGTAAGTAAAAATCCATTTAGATTAGAATGGAATATTATACTCTAACCTTAGAATTCCAACTTAAATCTGTTTCCACCTATAACATATACGCATATATGGGCTGCCGTCAATAGAAATAAGGCAAATTGACATTTTAAAAAATAAATATCCTAACTTTCACAGCTCATAACTCAATGAATTTTGATGCTATATTGATGATTTAATATTCAAAAGAAAACTTAGATCGTAGGCTTTCTTTTGACTGTTAAATCATTAAGATAGCTTCAAAATCCATCGAGATATGGGCTGTGAAAGTTAAGATATTGATTTTTTTTAAAATGCCAATTTGCCTTATTTCTATTGACGGCAGCCCATATAATGATAGTCCAAAAACCAATTAAATTTGGTTTTGGTTTTGGACAAGGGTTTTGGATATGGTGTCCAAAAACCAAAACTGTCCAATTTCCAACACTGGGCATGAGCGTTATTTAGAAAATCATGCCTATTTAAGTTCTTTGACCAATCCGAATAAAAATTTCTAACCCGAATATCAGAATTTATCTGGATTGAGGGATCAATCATAGCTCATAACAATGATGATACAGATAATGAATCGGTGGTCTCCCAATATAATGAACAACCCAAAGGCATGGGGTCACACAAAGCATGTGGAACCTGTGCAGTGATGAATCGAAAATCAAAATTTTGTGGCTTGATTGGCTGTTGGCCACGTGATCACATCTGATGGTTTCAAAATAACTGACGCGCCCATCTAAATAACGCGTAGTAATACTGCAATATGGTAATATAATAAAAATTTTTGAATTTCATATAAAAAAAATTACATTTCTTAAGTTTGATATAAACGTGAAGAACTTTTATTGATGCGTTTGATAAATTTTAAAAATTTAGCTAATAATTTTATAACTCAGAATCTTAAGATCAATAAATTTTATTCTCTAAGCGAAGATTACTGTATAAATTGAATAATAACAAGGATAATGATCACAGTTTTTTTTGATTTTTTAAATGTTTAAGATAAATTGAAAATTTATTTATTTATAATATAAAAATCTAAATTTATGAATATAAATTTTATAAGAAAAACTTCAATCTATAAAAAAAAACTAAGACATATCATTATATCTAACTCTCTGTTTTCTCTTTTGAGCTCCTTTTTGAACTACGGGAGTAGGTGGGGCTAACCTCGTAGCCTCCGGATTAGTTAATCTGTTTTGTATTTGTTGTTCCCGTGAAGATACCATTTGTTTATGAACCTATGAAAATTTTTAGAATTAATTAAATTAAAGAAAAAACAAAGAATTCTAGTAAATTTCAATGATAATAATTACCTCAATCTGATCCATAACATATTTATAAGCTTCAAATGCTTGATTAACTAATAGGCTCTCTGGGAACGATTCTTCCAAATCTTCTAATTCAGAAATAACGGGAGGCCAAAAATGCAGTGATGTATCACAAATATAAAGATTAAGAGGGTGAGTCTCATTTTGTTTTTCGCCTTGTAAAAATCTATAAATAAATCTTCTTAGTGCCGTGGCAAAAACTTCCGCAGAGAATTTCACGACTTTTCCATTAATAATTGTTGCGGGTTGGATAGTTTCAAAATCTATAATATTGTCTATTTCATCTCGTTGTTTAGGTATAAGTTCTTCCTTATATTTATCATGAGTATACTCAATTGTTAAATTTGCTACTTGTCCCTCTATTAATTCATACAAAGAAATTATGTGTTTAAGTTTCAGAGATTTATTTAACAAGGAACGAAATTCATTATTTTCATTAAGCCCAGAGAGTGTTGACCATTGATTTACATATTCTTTTATGGAAATTTCGCCATTGCCACCAGGTGTCCGTTTAATAAAGCAAAGTAAAATTTCCAAGGATGAAAGAATTTCTGATGGATTATCGAGGGATGTATCCATACTGTTTGATTGGAATGCATATGG